CCAGACATACAACTTTCCTGACTTTAAACCATGGAATATTCCCTTGTTCTGTTCAAATGACTGCCTCTTGATCTATATACAGGTTCCTCATGAGCACAATTAAGTGTTCTGGAACTCCCGTTCTTTGCAATGTTATCCATAATTTGTTATGATTTTCACAGTTGAATGCCTTTGAACAGTCAATAAAACACAGATAAATATGTTTCTGGTATTCTCTGCTTTCAGCCATGATCCATCTGACATCAGCAAAGATATCCCTTATTTCAAGTCCTCTTCTGAACTTCGCTTGAGTTTCTGGCAGTTCTTTGTCAATGTAGTGCTGCAACTGCTTTTGAATGACCTTCAGCAAAATTTTACTTGTGTGTGATATTAATGATGCTGTTCGATAATTTCTGCATTTATTGGATCACCTTTCTCTGGAATATGCATAAATATGGATCTGTTCCAGTTGGTTGGCCGCATAGCTGTCTTCCAAATTTCTTGGCATAGATAAGTGAGCACTTCCAGAGCTGCATCCGTTTTTTTGAAACATCTCAATTGTTATTTTGCCAATTCCTGGAGCCTTGTTTTTCACCAATGTCTTCAGTGCAACTTGGATTTCTTCCTTCAATATCATTTGTTCTTAATCATATGGTAACTCTTGAAATGGTTTAATGTTGACCAAATTTTTTTGGTACAGTGACTGTCTATTCCTCCATCTTCTTTTGATGCTTCTGAGTCATTCAATATTTTGCCCATAGAATCCTTCAATATTGCAACTTGAAGCTTGAAATTTTTCTTCAGTTCTTTCAGCTTCAGAAATCCCGAGCATGTTCTTGCCTTTTGTTTTTCTGTCTCCAGATCTTTGCACATTTCATTATAATACTTTACTTTGTCTTCTCAAGCTGCCCTTTGAAGTCTTCTTTTCAGCTCTTTTACTTCATCATTTCTTCTATTCACTTCAGCTCCTCGACGTTCAAGAGCAAGTTTCAGAGTCTCTTCTGACATCCATTTTGGTCTTTTCTTTCTTTCTTATCTTTTTAATGACCTTTTGCTTTCTTCATGTATGACGTCCTTGATGTCATCCCACAACTTACCTGGTCTTCAGTAATTAGTGTTCAGTGTGTCAAAAGTATTTTCGAGATGGTGTCTAAATTCAGGTGGGATATACTCAGGGTCATACTTTGGCTCTCCTGGACTTGTTTTAATTTTCTTAAGCTTCAATTTGAACTTGCATAGGAGCAATTGATTGTTTGTTCCGCAGTGGGTCACTGGCCTTGTTCTGACTGATGATATTGAGCTGCTTCATTGTGTCTTTCCACAGATTTTGTCAGTTTCTTTCTTGTGTGTTCCATCTGGTGAGGTCCACAACTATGTTTATGCTGTTTAAAAAGGGTATTTGCAATAAATAAGTCCTTGGTCTTGCAAAATTCTATCATGCGATCTCCAGTGTCGTTTCTGTCACCAAGGCAGTATTTTCCAGCTACCAATTCTTTTTCTTTGTTTACAATTTTCACATTCCAATCACTAGTAATTATCAATACATATGGATTGCATGTTTGATCAATTTCATATTGCAGAAGTTTTTAAAAATCTTCGATTTCTTCATCTTTGGCATTTGTGGTTTGTGTGTATATTTGAATAATAACCATATTAGCTGGTCTTCCCTGTAGGCATATGGATATGATCTTATCACTGACAGCATTGCACTTCAGGATAGATCTTGAAATTTTTTTTTGGACAATGAGTGTGACACCATTCTTCTTCAATTTGGCATTCCTGCCATAGTAGACCGTATGCTTATTTGATTCAAAATGGCCAATACCAGTTCATTTTAGCCAACTAATGCCTAGGATATTGATCTCTATGTGTTCCATTACTACTATACCCTCACTCAAATTGGATAATTTTCCTATCTTTGAAATATCAGCAGAGACAGCTTCCTGAAGAAAGTCTTTGACATTCTTATCTAAATTAGATGTCTATGCTCCCTCCCATGCCACCCTGCTTTCTATTTCCTAGCATGATATTTATGGTTATTCATGCAATGCTTTTAAAATTCATAGAAACAAGGTTGTGTCTATCTGATTTGCCCCCATATTCCTAGTTCTAAGCTATGTTTATGGCCCATCACATTTATTGCAAGCATTTTGTTGAAAGACTGAACAAAGTGATACTTTACATTTTACTTATATTATTTTT